CACCCAGTCCCCGGCCCCACCCACTGAGGAGGCTGGGCCGCAGCGCGTGGTCATCTCTCAGGCCCGGCCCCGCAGCCTCAGCGTGAGCTGGGCCCCGGTGCAGGCGGCGCTCAGCTATCATGTACTGTTTGGGCCTCTGCAGGGTGGCGTGGCCCAAAGGGTGGAGGTGCCCGCGGGCCGCAACAGCACCATATTGCAGGGCCTGGCACCAGGCACCGCCTACCTGGTGACGGTGACCGCAGCCTTCCGCTCAGGCCGCGAGAGTGCCCTCTCAGCTAAGGCCTGCACACCCGATGGCCCACGGCCTCGCGCCCCGTGCCCAGAGCGTCCGGATGCCAGGGACAGAGGCCCATGAGCCTGCGCCCCTGCCCCACCCGGGGGGTCAGAGCAGACCTGAGGGCCCAGCATCTCAAACCTGGGTTGGGGGAAGGGGCACCCACCGCTGAAGCCAAGGTTTCAGCTTTTGCCCCCTGTGGACTCCCCACAGCCCCCTCCTCTCCCCGCAGGGCTCCCCTGCCTGACAGGATCCCTCCCGTCCATAGGGGCAGGTGTTGACCTTTAGGTAGGATGTGGTGGGGAGACAGGAAGCCTGGGGTGGGGTGGAGAACATCAGAGCCAGGACTGGCCAGTGGAGGGGAGGCTGGCGACCTGGCCTCCCACCGTGTGGAGGGCCGGGCCCTCGGGTGGTCAGAACTGGCATGGGCTGGAGTGAGCTTGGTCTGGTTGGCTGTTGTGTCCCCACAGTCACTCAGGTCCCAGATGCTGAAAGAAGGGGGATGGGGGGAGAAGTCGGCCCAGGCCAGGTCCCCAAAGGCTTCCGAGGGAATGAAGGGCATGGAGGGGCACCTGGAGGCTGGTGTGGCCAGATGGGCTTCACCAGTATGCTCAACTGGTCTGAGGGCAGTGCCTGCCTGCTGGGGACCGCCACTGGGCCCAGCTGGCTACCACTAGGATGCAGAGAGCAACTTTTGGGACGAACGGAACCAGAGCCTGGCATTCAGGACCTTGAGGATGGAGCACCCCCCCACCAGGCTGCAAGGCTAGCCCTGGCAGGGAGACCCCCGTTCAGGGGTTGGGGAACTTCCCAGGGGGAGCAGGCAAAGTCCCTAGGGTGGGCCCTCCCATGATTCTCTGCAGGATCTTCTGGCCCCGAGGGCCATGCCCATGGGTGACCTCCTGTCATGGCTTGCCGCCCTGGGGCCAGCAGGCAGGGTGCTAAGGGTGGGGGGGTGCCCCAACCAGGCATGTCCTCTGCTCTCAGGATGGCCTTGCCACTCAGTGCTCACATTGCTTCTCGTCCCCACTAACAACGTCCCAGACTTTAAAATTCAATAAACAGCTGTACACGAGCCTGTGGTCTCCTTAGAATGCTGTGCTCCTTGTTGAAACATGCCAGTGTGGTTACGCGCGGAAGGGCCCATGGGCAGGACTGATGGTGTGTCTGGGAGGTCAGGGGGCCGTTCCCTCCCAGTGCTGGTCACAGCCACCAGGCGTCTGCGCTCCCTCTTGCACTGTCCCTTCAGAACCTGAGCCCCACTTCTGTGGGCCGGGACCCCGCGATTTGAACAGATCGGTTGCTGGAAGGCGGGGCCAGCCCCAGCCTGCAGAGCTGCCCTCTGCAGCCCCGTGGGCGCCCTCTGCGGGTGAAGCCACGCCCTGCTCTGCAGTGGTCATCCCCACACTTGCTGGGGGGAAAGCTACAGGGTAGGCTGCCCGCTGGGTGTTGCCCACGGGCGTCCCCCCCACTGACCCCTGAGAGGCTGTGTGGGACCTCACCCAGCAGTCTGCTGAACTGGGGAGGGGTGTTGACCGGCAGAAAGTTGTGCCCACTTCCCTCCACGGAGTATGGCTCCCCCTCAAGACCTCAAAACGTGCTGGGAGTGGCCGCCTGGGGTCTGAGCCCAGGTCTTCAGGAAGTAGGGTGTCCAAGAGTGGGCCCTGGCCCCTGGGCCTGTTTCCTAGTGACCATCCTAAAGGAGGTAAGATACCTGTGATAGCCTCCTGCTGAGAAGAGGGGACCATGGAGACTCCAGTCTTTCCGGGATGAAAAATGTTCTTCCAACACCCGTTGGTTTAAAGCCTGCGGGAGTTCCCTCTCCCCTGTGTCCAGGTCGTCCGATAAGAGGTGGGCCCTGCCCTAGGCTCAGGCCTCTAGAGAAGCTGCCGTGCTGGGGGGCCTGGGAAGCAGGGGGACTGCGGCCTCGGGCAGAGGGGGACCAGGACCACCTCCACTCACCGATGCAGTCTCACTGGGACCCGGGTCCCTGATGCCTGCCCCTGACTGTCCATGATTTAGAAATGCAGGCAGAGGCCCCCTGTCCTCAGCAGGTGTAGGTACAACCCAGGGAGGGCAGGGGTGGCCGGCAGCCTGCCTGAGTCTGCAGCAGGGGGAACCAGAAGCTGGGACTCAGCGGAGGCCCAGTAGTCTCCACACCCAGGTGGCTGGCAGCATCTCCTGTCCCCACTGCCTCCATGGGAAGGCATCCCAGGCGTGGTGGGCAGTTCCCTACACAGAGGTCTCTCCCACAGCGCTCCAGGGACAGGAGGGCACCATCAGTGGCCATGGGTTCTGTTCCCAGACCATGCAGCTGACCTTGCTTTTCTCCTGGGAAGGCAGAGTTCCCGCCTCAGCTCTGCTAGCAGCAGATCAGCTCTCCCCGTGTGTCACCTGTCCCCGGCGGGTGACATGCCCTGGCGGTGTGCATATCTTCAGGGTTAACTCCAGGATCCTGGTGGGGACTGGTGGTGTCTGGCCCCATGGCTGGGTGGGTCTCCAGTCCCGTCAGGTGGAGGGCTGCTCCGGGGCAGAGGGCAGGGTGCAGGGTCACCACGGGAAGGTCACTGTGACAAGCAGCTGGTGGAACCTGGGGGGCCAGCAAGCTTTGTACCGGCCCTAGGTCACTGTGTGGTCCTGGCTCTGCTACTCCCGTCCCCTCTTGATAACCACCACCTTCCGGGGAGGAGGGCTGCCAAGGCCAGTAGGTTGCAAGAGTCTCTCAGAGAGGGGGGAGCCCTCCCTTAGGGGTGGAGACCAGCAGCTGGGGCCCCACCCTAGGGATTGGGGTCCAGAGGGCCTGGCTGGGGCCCATCTAGGGGGGCAGGAGGGGGATACATGTGGCTCAGGCTGTGTAGGCCTGCACATGGGCTGGGAGGTTGCAGGGTGGCCAGAGCCAGCAGGTCTTTTTGTTAGCTGAAAAGAAAGACTAGGAGTGGGAGGGGCCCAGTCAGCTGAGGGAGAGGGACCAGTCCTGATTCCCAGAGGCTGGGCCACCCTGGGAGAGCAAGATTGTAGAGTGGTGTGCAGGGCAGCAGCAACCGTGTGCCCGTTATGTGGGGTGTTCCATGTGTAAGAGGACAGGTGTGGGGAGTGAGTGGGGGGCTGGGTTGTGGCCACAGGCCACACAGAACAGCCACAGCTCTGGTCTGGGCAGCTCCCCATGGGGCTGGTTAGATGCAGAGGCTGCTGGAATTCTGGGAGCAGAACGCTTTGCCCACCGGTGGCCTCGGAGGCATGCTCTGGGACTCCTGCCCCGCTCCTGGGCTGGGCTCCCGGGTAGTCGTGTCCTCACTGTCCCGGTCTTGGCTCAAGGTCGGGCTGGAGGCCAGGTTGTCTATCTGCATCTGGAGCTACTGTGGTGTTTCCCCCAAGTCTTGGTGCTGGAGGACTCTCTGTTGGGGGTGTAAGGGGGAATCCAGCAGTGAAATGGCCAAGTGACAGGGAGTCTCATGCATGTCAGGTCACCATAAACGTTTCGGGTGGAAGTCAAGGTCACCACTCCCTTCATGAACTGAGTGTCTTTGGCAGGGGTGCGGTGCATCCATCCTCCCAAATGGCTTCCAGTCTCAGCTCCTAGGCAACCAGCACAAGTGGATGGGACATTCTGCATGACCCATCAGATAGTGGACAGTGGGAGCTACGCTACCTGACAGAAGGGTTCACTTCTGCTCTGTTTCTTTTTTTTTTGAGTTGGAGTCTCACTCTGTCGCCCAGACTGGAGTGCAGTGGCCGCTCCCGGCCACTGCAACCTCGACCTGCTGGGCTCCGGCGATCCTTCCGTCTCAGCCTTCCGAGTAGCCAGAATTACAGGTGCGCGCTACCACGCCCGGCAGATTTTTTGATTTATTGTAGAGATGAGGTCTCGCTGCCCAGGCGGGTCTCGAACCTGCAGGCTCAGGCAATCCACTCACCTCAGCCTCCCAAAGGCGCGGGATTACAGGCTGCTACCTGATTCTTAAGACAGCAATCAAAACTTGGGTTTTCATTTTTATTAGAGACAGGGTCTCACTCTGTTGCCTAGACTAGACTGTAGTGGCATGAGCATAGTGAACTGCAGCCTCCACCTCTGGGGCTCAAGCGATTCTTCTGTCCTGACCTCCCAAAAAACTGGGATTACAGCCGTGAGCCACTGTGCCCGGCCTTGCTTTCTGGTTTTAAAATGAAGTTGACTGGGCACGGTAGCTCACGCCTATAATCCCAGCACTCTGGGAGGCTGAGGTGACAGAGATGATTGCCTGAATTCAAGACCAGCCTGGGCACCTTGGCGAGGCCTCGTCTCTACAATTAAAACAAAAAACAAAAAACTGCTTTAATCTAGCGGGAAAGTTCAGGCCGATGACTGCAGACCAACCAG